TTTGAATTTTGTTTGAATATTTAATTTTTAAATCGTTTAAATCGTTTTAAATTATACCCTTGTATATCGTGATCAAGCAGTGAGGTTAGCCGAATTATAGATAAAAGAAAAGTTTTAGTATACGGTCGGTAAGCGAGCGCAGATTAGATTTCCACCTGGCGGGTAAAGTTTTTAGTTTCCGAGGGTTGGCGACAGTACTGATGTAGCGAAGGAAAAACAAAGATATAATATATAAAGGATCTTTTAATAAGGATGCTCGATTTTTAAATATAAATAAAACAAGTTGTGTGCGAGATATTCACTTAATTTTTTTTTATTTGAAAGAATATTTTATGGCATTAAGTATGGAATATAACGTCGCTCAAATATCCGCCGCGGGTTCGCTTGGTAACACGTAGTTCCAATTTTTTGTAACTTTTTCGCATAAATCTGGCTGAATTTTCTGGATGGCGTTTGTTATGTTGACTTTGAGAGCATTAATTGTTGGCGGTTTATTCGTATAGACTTACGATTTAAGATAGCCCCAAAGGAAGAAGTCTAAAGGCGTTAAATCGCACGATCTCGGTGGCTAGTCACGTCGTCGCCGCGCGAGATAACCATGCCCTCAAATCGCTCGTGTAGAATGTCCATCGTAGCATGCGATATGTGGGACATAGCACTATCCTGTTGTAATCACATGTTATCGGTATCCATATCATCCATTTTAGGATCCACAAGAAGTTGCTTATCATCGATCTGCAGCGCTCGCCGTTGATGGTTATGGTAACGCCCGCTTCGTTTTGGAAGAAGTACGGATCGATGATTCCGCCAGACCAAAATCTGCACCGAACAGTGACTTTCTCAGGATGCATTTGGAGCTGGTGTATCTCGCGTGATTGGTATCGTCCCAAATTCAATTTTGCTTGTTCACATATCCATTCATCCAAAAATGGGCCTCATCGCTAAAGATGATTTGTTTGGCGAAATTCGAGTTAACTTTCAACTGCTCCAGAACCCAATCAGCAAATACACGGCGTTGTCTATGGTCGTTTACCTTAAATTCCTGGATCAGTTGAATTTTATAGGGGTGCAAGCCCAAGTCTCGACGCAAAATTCGCCAAGTTGAAGTCGCAGAAAGGCCAAGTTCTTGTGAACGACGAGAAATTGACCGCCTCGGGTTTTCCCGTACACTCTCACTCACAGCAGCGATGTTTTGAACAGATCTTGCATTTCGGCGACGTACTGGTGTTGGCTGATTATTTATCGAACCGATTGACTCGAATTTGGCGACCAAATGTCGAATAATCGATTCGGCAGGATAAAAATCGGTTGTGGCGAGGATAAAAATCACGTAATGCGTGGAATGTTTCTCGAACGGAACACTGATTTTGATAATAAAATTTTATGATTTGCACACGTTGCTCAATACTGTGACCTTCCATGGTGATTTGCTATATATTACTAAACAATTCACAACAAATTTGACAGATGGCTACTATGATCTAACAAATTTCGAGCGTCCTATTGAAAGACCCTATATTTATTCGTGGATTTTGGTGGAAAATAAAGTCGTTTCAGCCTGTGAGAAGAATTAATTTCTTTAAAGAAGAAAACTCTTTCGTCATTTTTGAGTCCTGAAGTATTGCGTGCGATTTTCTGTATATTTCATATATGTCGGGTGTTTCAGATCATTCGAATCATCCTTTTATTTTTACAAGATAAGGTCCAATTGTAAAAATGTTTAGACAAAAGTTGTAGATTTAAAAAGATCTATTTACTGATCTTATCAGTTTGATCTTAGGTGACCAAGATCAGATCAAGATCACGTTGATTATTTTAAATGGAATACCTAATTTTTGATTACAGAATCTAATAAACGATATTGAGAGCTTTCCAAAACACTAAGTAAAGTTATTTTTTATTAAATACTTTTCGAGTTATAAGGCTTGAAGGTTACACTACTGCCGACATTAGCATTACGTAAGATGTCCAATCGTGTCTTGAATAACATTCATTAAGATCAAGGTTATTGAAGATTGTTTTTTTTACTTTCATTTTTACAAAAATAAATTTTCAGTGTAAAAATGAAAATAAGAGAAATAATCTGCAATGACTTTGATCTTGACAAATGTTATTCAAGATATGATTCTGAACAATATTCGAGAGGTTTTAGTCGGTCAGACACTTTGGATAATGCTTAATGCCGGCGGTACTGTAACATGCAAGCCTTATAACTCGAAAAGTACTTTATGAAAAATAACTTTATTGTAATGTTTTGAAAAGGTTTTGATAGCTATTAGATTCTGAAATCAAAAGTAGGGTGTGCCAAAAAATTCGATGTGATTTTGATCTGATTGCGACGCCACCCAAAGTCAGACTGATCAGATTAGTGAATAGATCATTTAAAGCTCTACAACTTTTTTATAGGACAAATTTCTTTCTCAAATGTTTAGTTTTCGAGATATTTCACTGGTCTGGGACTTTTTACTCTCTCCCCCTCACATGTATAACAGGATCGGCCATTTTAATCAATACACGCGAATATCTCGAAAAGGAAAAATTTTTTCAAAAAATATTTCAGATAAAGTTTTATGATTTTAACAAGGAAAAAAGACGGTGATCTTGGTTGACCTTGATAAGAAGTCCTTAAGGTCAAGTCCATGTTATATAAAATTTTTTTAATGGAAACTTTCCATTTTTTTATTGCGAATTCTTGATTCAAGAGTTTTCCAAAACACTATAATAAATAATATATTTTTTCGTTAGGTACATTTTGAGTTATGAGGTTTGAAAGTTTACAATACCGACATGCCGACATTTGCGTTCTTCATCCGACTGAAGATTAAAACGTTTTATATTACTCAAAGTCAAGATATGTACAGAGTGGTCCACTTAAATCGACCATCTGAAATATCTCACTTATTTTTGGCGATATTGAAAAATGTGTCAAATGAAAGTGGAAGGGTTTCGAGGGGGATATTTTTTGTCATGTTAGTTTTTTTTGGAGATCAAAAACATATCAAGGTTATCTCCACTTTTTAAAATAAAATATATGATGTTTTTACACAATATGATTTCTTTAATTATTCTGCATATAAAAATATTAAGGTAATAATATCAAAAAAACCAACAGTTTACGAAATATTTTACACTTTATTGTGACACATATTGACATAAAATGTTAAATAATTCGTAAACTATTAACTTTTTGATAATTGTACTTTAATACTTTTATGGACAAAATAATAAGATGAATCAGTTGATGGAAAGAAAACACATAGTTGCTTATTTAAAAAATAATCCATTTTGCATACATATTTTTTTAAAGCAACGATATATATATTTTCTTTCCACCAACTTCATCTCATTATTCTGTTCGTAAAAGTATTAAAGTACGATTATTAAAAAGTTAAT